AATTATCAATACGCTCAAATGGTAGACTTTGGATCCTCTGGGATCCAAGATGGTACATTGTGACTTTATTAAAAGCTGGTGCACAATTCTTACATTGCCATCTGAGAGATAACTCTGGGAAAATAGATTGCTTAATGAATGTTGTTTATAGATATAATACTGCTGAACAAATAAAATCACTATGGACGGACATGTAGATTTTGGCTACAAACATAGCTGCACCTTGGATAATCTGTGGAGACTTCAATGTTGTGCTTTATCCTCAAGATAGATTGATGGTTAATCCTATAAAATATGTAGAAACTCGAAACTTTTCTTATTGCATTCAAGCATTGCAGCTCAGTGAATTGTCATGGAATGGAGACTACTACACTTAGTCAAACAAGCAATATGGACCAGATAGAGTTAGTAGTAGAATTGACAGAGTCTTTGGAAATTTTGAATGGATACAATGAAGGCATGTGCAAATTGAATATGATCTGCCCCAAATGTATGATCATTCACCTATGCTGCTATCAATCTGCACAGCTACTAGACCTGGAAAAATTCTTTTCAGATTCCTAAATGTTTGGGCAGACCATGCTAGCTTTCTCCAGCTAGTGCAGGAAGTATGGGATCAGAATATAACATAATGGAGAATGAAGAGTATCTGGTTGAAGCTAAAAGCTCTAAAGCCCAGACTCAAGGCATTGAACAATGAGTAATTCAGAACTATTACTACTAAGATTGATAAGGCTCGAGATGAACTTCAAGGTATTCAGGAGCAGATTATAACACAATGTAATGACTACCTGCTGGACCAGGAGAAAGTTATTCTTCATCAACTGGAACAATGGTCCCTTATAAAGGAAAGTGTGTTAAAGCAAAACTCAAGAGCTAAGTCGATTAAGCTCGGGGACTCAAATACCAAGTTTACTCTGCTATAATGAATGAAAGGAATCAGAAAAAGTGGATTAAAGAACTCACATCTCTAGATGGACAGGCCCTAAGTGATTCTGAGGGGATCAAATATGAAATCATTGAGTTCTACAAATCCTTGATGGGAACTACTGCTCAGACTCTTCCTGCTATCAACAGGGAGATCATGAAACAAGGACCTACTGTCTCGCAATAACAAAGACTTCAGCTCTGTGCAGAAGTCACTGATCAAGAGATATTTGAAAGTTTACAGGCTATTGGTGATGACAAGCCACCATGGGTGGACGGTTTCAATGTTGATTTCTTCAAGAAATCCTGGCCAATTATCAAGGAGGAGGTCTGTGAAGCTGTTAAAGAATTTCTTACCTCGGGTAGAATGTACAAGGCCATAAATTTTACTATTATCACGTTGATACCTAAGGTGGATAAACCTATCATTGTGAAGGATTTCAGACCTATTGCTTGTTGTACTTTACTTTATAAACTCATCTCTAAGGTGTTAGCAGCAAGGTTGCAGAAGATCATTGCATCTATAATTAGTGCAAATCAGGCTGGGTTCATTCCTGGGAGAAGAATTGCATATAATATTATCCTTGCCCATGAATTGGTCAAGTATTGCATATAATATTATCCTTGCCCATGAATTGGTCAAGTCATATACAAGAAAACATACTTCTGATAGGTGTATGATTAAGATTGATCTACAAAAAGCCTATGACTCAGTGAAGTGGATTTTTTGGAACAGGTAATGGGTACTTTGGGCTTCCCTACAAAATTTACTGGTTGGATCCTTGAATGTGTCAAGACAGTCAATTATACCATATTGATAAATGGGAGACTACCATTCCATTTGATGCTGCAAAAAGACTTAGACAAGGGGATTCTATGTCCCCTTACCTATTTGCTATTGTCATGGAGTAGCTAAGTAGAAGCCTAAATGGTCTGAAAGGAAACAAAGACTTAAAATACCATCCAAAGTGTGCTAGGCTCCCACATCACACATTTAAGCTTTGCTGATGACTTACTGTTGTTTACAAGAGGTGACTTAGCATCAGTGGTTGCTATGCATAGGTGCTTCAGTCAATTCTCACAATCATCAGGTCTGCAAGCTAACTTGGGAAAGAGTTATGTGTACTTTGGTGGGGTCTCTCCAGCCGAAAGAAACAAAATCCTACAACGCTTGGGATATGGACAAGGAGAAATGCCTTTCAAATACTTATGCATACCTCTATCAACCAAAAAGATCTAAATGATCCAATGGCAACCCCTTATTCAAAAGATAGTGGCAAAAATATCTTCATGGACAGCTAAGAAACTATCCTATGCAGGAAGGGTTCAGCTAGTGCAAAGTGTGATCTTTGGCGTCCAAGCCTACTAGGCTCAACTGTTGCCATTGCCTGTTAAGGTGCTGAAGCTTATTAATGCCTATTGTAGGAGTTATATCTGGTCTGCTGCCAATAGCATTACTAAAAAGGCCCTGATCTCGTGGGAAAAGATTGTTCTCCTATGTGTAGTGGAGGCCTGAACCTAGTGAAGATTTAATTGTGGAACAAAGCTACTATCACCAAAGTGTGTCGGGATGTGGAAGCTAAGCAGGATAGACTGTGGATTAAATGGATACACTCCTACTACATAAAATGTCGACAATTTCTACAAATGCCAATTCCTAAACAAGCCTGCTCGATGATCAGACAGATATTCATAGCAACTATGAACCAGATGCAGAGGAACTATGGGGCTAGTTTGATCAGGCACATATACCTGTAGTTGTTGGGAGAAAGACCTCGTGTGAATTGAAAATGTTTAATGTTTCAGAACATTGCAAGGCCTAAAGCACAATTTACCATGTGGATGCTATTACATGGCAGGCTCATAGTCCTCACTACAGATAGGCTGCAACAATGGGGAATGACTGTCGAAACACAATGTGCACTATGCCATGATCATGATGAAAGCAGGGAGCATCTTTTTGTTAACTGTGGGTATGCCAAGAGCTTACGGAGGAAGACAATGCACGGGATGCAACATGAATACAAGATAACACACACCTGGGAGCAACACCTACAGTGGAGTCTGCAACATGGAAAAGGAAAATCCCAAAGAGCAAAGATACTTCGGATGGTGTATGCAGAAATATCACATGTCATTTGGATTGAGAGGAATCTGAGGATCTTTAAAAAAAGGGCTAGAGATTGGAATGTCATTGCACATGAAATAGCCTACACTTGCAACATTAGAGCTACCACTGGAATTCATAGATTATTTCAGAATTATATTTTTGTTTTAGTGTATAGGATGCATGTTACATAGGATAATGGATTTGTAATGAGATAGCTAGATGTATAAGCGATGCTATGATTTTGTACAGTTTTACTGGTGATTAATATAAAAGTGATTAATTAGCTAAAAAAAACATAAAAAGTTTTAACATGATTTGAAATCAAACAGATTGGTCAGTTGAGTTTAAACATGATTATACAACTCTTTGATTGGACATCATACCGTGGACAAACACTTCTGATCCATATTAGAGATTTTGAAATTAAGGGAGAGGCATTTACAAACTGCAGGAGAATTTTGTTAATTGTTCCTTTATTACAAGTTGGATCTACTGGTGGCAGAGGAAACTACAGCATCTGTAATATACTACAAAAGGAAAAATACACATTAAAGATAAACTGGTTCTGTTTCTTGATCATTGCAAAATGATTTGTGCCTTTGAGAAATTATTTCACCTCACTTTTATGGAATTGTAGATATCTATGTATTTCCCTGCTGTATTATTCCAGCTATTGTCAATACGCATAACTTTCTGAACGACAGCTTTCCATTCATTTGGTTCTGCATTACAATTGAGGACATCTTATCAATCAAACAATTAAATCTTTAACTCAAAGTAGTTGGAGTCAGTTCTACGGATCCTCTCTATCAAAATCTCATTTTATTCTGTGAGGTGAATGAGGGACTATTCTACAATCAAGCGGCATTGTTTGAAGGAAATCAGCAGGAGAAAAACTACATGGAGATTCAAGGATAAAGTGACTTACTTTCTCCATAGTAAGAAAATGCACGGTCTAAAGCCCGGTTAAAGGATCCTTCATCAATTCCTTCAAAGACGAACCTACATGGATAATATACTGAGCATTTCAGAATCACAGTTGGAATGCCAGTAAAACTTACTCATGGAAAAGGACAAACAGGAAAACAGAAAAAGGATCCATCACCTAACAAGTTCTTTTTTAAAAACAACACAAACAAAATGGCTCTTACTGCAACAACCATCCTTAGATTCTTGCACAATTGCTTTATATTGAATTTACTTAAAAGCTGAAACCAGTGGGTTCGCCATGACTTTTTTTTTTAAAACCCCTTTAGCTCTGAAATTTAGCAATATAGCTTGTATTATCAGTAAAAATATTTTTCTTGAACAAGAAAACCTATGCAAACTTAGAAAGCAACTGCATGAGTTGTTTTTTATTGAGGTGACTGATGATCAACATCAACAACAAACAAACCCAACGTAATCCCATACGTGGGGTAAACATCAGATTCCACATTTGTTGGTTAGTTCTTTTATTGATTTTCATCCTTGTTATAGAACAACACACAGAGAGTTAAAGGTCAGAAACCAATTCACCATTGAAAGCTAATTGACACGACTAGCATGAATTTTTAGTACAAAAGTAAACAGGATTTCAAGAATCTGAACAGTTACCCGTTAGCAATCTCAGCGTGAGATTGATCATCCATGTCAAAAACTGTGTCCGCGAGACCACCCGTCTTCCTAACTATGGGAACCTGAAATAGATGCAAAAAAATTCCTTGCTTTTGTTTCTTTCTTAAGCTGGAATATGCTGATGTTTCTTGAAGCAATAATTGGATAAACCACCATTTTGTCGTTACTAGAAACACACACAGCCCTAAATAAAACCTTTCTGACAAGTTCTGTCTACCATATAAATATGTCAAGCAGAAAAAGAAACAGAGATTTTCCCCAGCTTTAACCACATAAAATGTGAAAAACACATTATTCTTAGAAGTAGGAGTACTTACAGCTCCATAACGCATTCCAATCATCTGTGCTAGCCCGCATGGCTCATACATTGATGGCACTAAAACCATGTCTGCAGCAGCATAGAGCATATGGGACAGCTCCTCGCTTCATGATTGACGCCATTTGAAAGAAAATTGGCCAGTCGTGTTAAAAATTGCCTCGTGCATCCAGAGTATACAAGTGATTCATATAATTTGAGGTTCATTTAATCAGATAAAGAATAATTTCACCAAGATACATAAACATTACCAGTAATATTTCTTGAAGGTTAGGAATATTAGATAATCAATTGGCTTTCAAAAATAGTTACCTGTACATCAAAAGGATACGGATGTTGGGGCCCTTGTCATGCTACAAAGAAAGTAATTGATATCACCATTGCATGGTCACTCAAAAAGGTTTAAAAACACAACCAGATCTATTGGACTTCTTCAAAATAAAACACTTTGTTCTCTCAAATGTGTAAATAAGTACGGTGGAAATTATAAGCAGGATGGACTTACATTTTAACATATGAAATCACCAACTACTTATTACTTCTAGCTTACTCCAGAGGGAAAATAGGAACATGCATTAATGAGCAATTAGTGCAGCATAATTTACTTAACTAATTCTCTCACTTTCTTCTTTTCTGCTGCTTTTTCTCTTTGGTTTTATCAATTGGCATTTCTTTCAGGTCAAATGTAGCACATTGTATGGACCCTGACATCTAAATCATTAAATGATCCCATTCTAATATCATAAAAGAATAGTAATAAAGAGAAGGAAAAACTAAAATGGTGATAATGAACTGTATTATCAGTGGCGATGCTTCCATTTTCCATCTCATGATGATGAAAAGAACCGTATGTAATGGTCCACTGCAAGCCAGCCAGAAGAATATTTCAAGTCTAGAAATTTGGGTTACCAATTCTGCTAAACCTTCAAATTCTCTCTCAACTCGATCATCTGAAGCCCTACCCAAAATCACCAACTGTCCACCCTGAAAAAGATGCCAGCAGCAGACTTCAATTACAACGCCAAATTAATACCCTATCAGCTGGCCAGAAAATCCTACGGGTAGTTGCAAATTTGTAACTGCCGTTAGGAGATCATATGAGAAGAAATAATAAGAGGTGACAATCTTCTTTTTCACGTGAGAAAACAAACACGACCTGGAAGTTGCGTGTTGCCCTATAGTTGTATTTAGTAACTTGAACAGTAACAGGAGGCCTATCTTGCTCTTCTTTTCCAATAAAAAATGCTTCAAATGGGCAAGGGAATAAAAAATTTTAGCATGCACTAAAACTTTAGCTGGGCAAGATTTTAAGGCGAGTTCGAAAAACATATGTTAGTATACTTGACACGATGAAAGCAACAATAATAGAGCATTCCTAGACGCATGCTTGTCTCTGTAGACTTGAGTATTGTTTGCACCATACAGCCAGTATGCATTCTCCGACTCCCTTGCTCAGGTGACCCTATATCCTCAGGGTGGGGAACTGGTGGGCGTTATATGTATCAAAATTTGAAACGCAATAGACGAATCGGGATTCTACACACTTGTCATGGTTTAGACACAGGATTGTGTTGGGAAGTGAAGAGAGTAGTTTAACAAATTTTGTGCTTGTGATGGAGAAGTAAAGGTCACATCATCTTGATGACTCTTTTGCTCATAAAATGATAAATGATCATCCCATTGAATCTTTCATAGAGAAAATGCATCCTATGTGCTGTTTATGTGTACATTTGACTGATTGGATGGCTGTCTTCCTGAGTCTAGGTGAACTTCTGCCAAAAAGAACGAGATGGGGATAAACACTTACTAGTTCTTCAACATGCTTGATCGCATGAGTGATAAGATGGAGACCCTTTTGAGCGACCAATCGAGTAATGCAGATAACCAAAGGTACTTGATCAGCCACACAAGTACTCTGTTTGATGCTTTCAAAAGGCAGACTAAGTCCCCTTTGAACAAATTGTTTGCATATCCTCTTCCCTTCAATTTTGCTGGCTTGCAAAACACAAAAGTGAAATAAGAAGAGTTGAAGAAAATATCCTTACTTGTTGCATACCAAATCAAAAATGTATTTTCCAAAGGAAAAAGGTCCGAAGTGGTAGTTCGCAACAGAAATTAACCATGAGAAAGCCACATTCTCCAGATGGGGCTCATCTCTGGGAGACTCAGTAGAAATACTGGAATGAACTTTTTTAGGTGCATATGTTTCTCTTACACCGTTGAGTTCAAATCACGCCGCACTTTGATAAACTCAAATTTAGATTCAATGACCAATGACTGGTACTAGCTATGACACAACTATCATGATTGATATACAGGAGTGGAGCATGAGGCTTTTAGGAAAAACATAAAAAGAGTTTAGTAATATCCTGTGACCATGCAAATCGGTTCAAGAAAGCAGCAAGCTGGTCTAACCAGAGTATAGAGCCTAAAAACAAGCCCCTGAGCTATGACCAAAGAGCGTCTGAAATTCCCAAAAGACTTGCTTAGGGTTGCTTCTTGTTCACATGCCAAAAAATTTTTATTAAAGATTGTCCTGCATTTGTTGGATTATGTAAAGATTGTCCAACTTTTCTCATCCCATTTCTAGGTTTTGTGCTCTACACTTCATTTTATATGAATTAGAAATCACAATATGCACAGTTTCATCATGCCCATGAAACAACTAAAGAATGAAAACTAATTGACAGCTCTGTCCTGTTACCTGATTGAATGGCAATGTCTATTAAGTGCAAACTCCTAGTGTCTCACAGTTTCAAGAATATAAACTAGTGAAGAAGACAACAAGAAAGCAAACACAGCATCTTGTGGACCAAGGCAATAATATCAGTTCATTACCCAACCCCCCCCCCCCCCAATAGGTAAATATAGTTGAGAAATCATTACACTCAATCCGTAGATTGATACTGATATCAAACAGCGACAATAAAATGCAAATATTTTAACACAACTGACATGTTTATTAGCATCCTTTCTTTCATTAAACAACAACAACAACATACCTAGTATTATTCCACATTGTGGTCTTTCTTTCATTAAGAGAATGAAAATTCCTATGGTTGCAATGATCTTTGTCTTTAAACAATTACTACTTTCCCTATGCATTACCCCAAAACCTAGATAACAACTCAAGACCAAAAATCATATCTCCTCTTAATGTGTCTAGAGTCATAGATTTTGCATCAATGTCCTTTCCTGCATTTGCCTTTATTAAGATACATTGGAGATATGAGTATCAGGAAATAATTAGAAGTCAATTTATTCCCTTGCCCGCGGAGCTGTTGATGGATGACCAAAATTGTGACAATTTTCTGGTAAACTCCTCCGCATGAACCCCGTAAACCTCATCGTGCTTCCTCATGTCCAACATGGATGAGGTGACTGTTTTAATATTTCCTTGGGTTTAATAACATGTAAGCTGTTCGAATCCATACCAACATTAGCATCCCTTATGTGGGAAAAACATATGTAATGGTAGCTCAAAGCAAGTCGTATCCAAGTAATTCTAAAATATCACAGAAATAATTACCATCAAATTTAGCAGGCAAATAAACATCCGTTGCTGGATTCCACATTTCAGTATCGATCCCATTTAAAATGCCAGAATACCTGAATGATTACATAACTCGTTTTTAACAGCTCTATTAGGAAAACAGATACATAAAAAGCAACTTAAACATAAAATTTGGTAGTGACATGATATTTAATATGTCACATGCTAATTTCCAGAGAGGTTCAGAAAGAGAGGCTGAAGCATGATTAGTGAAACAGAACTTAATTTAACAAGGAAATATTGTTAAAGGCAAGTGTTGAAGACATTACTTATCACGGTTTCGCATCAAAGCACTAGAAAGCCATCCGGAACAGAGTGTCTCCTTCAGATACGTCGGTGAAACTGTACTGAATTAAGAAGAGAGATTAAAGAAAGAAGATGGTTTCTGTTTCTGATGACATAAAGAATGAAGATAGTCCACGCATGTTCAAAAAGCTTTACAAATGCTATGATTTCGCTACAAACAATATGTTATCTTAGTAGATGTAACTTTTTTTCGTGACTTCTCCTTATTAGAGGCACCAAGAAGTAAAGCGGGAGAACCAAGAACATGAGTAGCGTGGTTAAAGTTCTTATTAGGGAGAAATGAAAAGGGAATTGACTGATTAAACTGTGACCAATGCAAGTCGAGAAAATGATATTCACACCAAGAGTGAGTAAACCTTATAGGCAAATTAGGTAGCTGCGCTAGTTTTAGCTAACTTACACTACAGCATTGCTGTATACTATGCCACCTTTCAGCAAACTTAACCTCTCTGGATTATGGCCAACTGTGCGATCATCGACGGCCTGACACAGAGCAAAGAAATTCATTCGGGCAACAAGAACTGTACGCTAATGGTAAAAGAACATACAAGTATGTGGCCGAAAATAATATAACACATTCAAAGCTATAAACGACTACGCAGAGGCACTGGATTCTTGGTAGTATTTTTAACTGAAAAAATAACAGACAACAAATTATGATTAAATTTTGAATAAATGAGGACACCTTGTCTTCAGTTGCATAGGCAGATCCATCGAGACCAAACTTACTGAGTTGCTCTTGTCTGCCAAAGAAATTAGATGAAGCCCATGAGAAGAATTTGGTAAATCCAAGAGGCATTGTGGCATCGCAAGCAGCTACCAACGGTTAGCTTCACATCCTACTATTTTAGCTTAGCTGCAGATCAATATCATGGCCTTTTTGAGAAAGAAAAGGAAAAAAACTTGTTTACCCTGGAATCCGGATAACAATTGAATTTATATGGGGTTTTAAGGATCCGTGAACTAAAAGATACAAAAGGTTTGGATTGAGGAAAATAAAAGATAAAGACTCAACAATTGCTGTTAAAGTAAATAATCGCAGAATATAATATTGCTTAGAACAATTGTGCTTGATAGCGTACAAGAATTGAGAGAGATGGTACTGTAGTGTAATGGTTTCCGATCCCCTCTTTATGGGGTCTTCTCCCCTTTTATACATTCTGATTAAGGGTAAAAATAAGGTAGGTAAATTAATTACATCGTGGCTCCCTGTAATTACGCCTTAATGGCCTGAAGTGGTTGAGAAAATCACGTTTGGGCGAGATATCCGGCGACGCTTGGTTATCCGTTACGAGTCCGGCTTCCGACCTTGTGTGTTTCTCCATCCGGTGGTGACTCATATCGAGCTCTGCAACGGTCTCGAAATGACTCGACCTCGGTTGTAGACGTGGCCGTCGTTCTACCTTGCATCCAGGTCGGGTTCGATGGCCCCGACTTGCCCCGGACCGGACCCAACCCGGTCGGGCTCAAGCAAAAAAGGGTATCACCCAATACAGATAGTCCCCTCGTTTATTAGAGAGTAACGATAATAAATGATATGATCGGTGACGTGATGCCCGTGACGTATGGCCATACGCCAGGTGAAAAAGCCATCGAGTGCTCTGACCACGTCTGCTGCAGGCATTTAATGCTTCTCTTAATTATCTGTCGCTTCGTGTCTGTACTTCGCGATTCGTGCCGCCGCCTCATGGGGAAAAAGTCTAAACCGACCCT